ACGCGAGTCGCCAGCTGGCGACCAGTTCTGAAAATTTAGTCGCCAGTGCTCAATTTTTGGTCGCATTGGCGACCAGTGAGTCGCAATTTCAAGCCCTGTTTACGGGATAATTCAAACGATTTAAGTGTAGCTGATCGGTTCTCAATAGTGACTTCCGTTATAACTCGGCTGCTGCCACTTTTAATATTCGTAACGTGTAAACATTCCAAATAGTCGACTTATTTCTCCTGGAATGACTTTCTGATACTCCTAACTTTAGTTTGAATTCAAACAAGTCCATCTTTCATCACTAGAATTTGAGCTCAACCGTAAAGAAGTCAGTTAAGGTCATTCCACTGAAATAGAACCTGCACTGAGATTTTTGTGAAACTTTGCCTATTGATCCATTATATTATAGGAACTTAAATTTTGAAATAAAAATGAGGGGTCCCCATGTTCGTTTAGGAGCAACAACACCTTGTTTATACCCATATAAATCCTTATAATAGCATGATGATTGTAGTCACGATTGCTTGTTCCAATGATTGCTTTTTGTCTTACACTGAGAATTGGTCCATATTTATGTTACACAGAGAAATTTATTACTCAATTCAAAACAACAGAAAAAATGATAGGTCACCATACTCGTTTGTGGGAAAATGATGATTTACCTCTGTGGCGAGGTCCAGCTGTAAACAAAAAGCCGCTATTTTTTAATGCGTGCGTGCTAATCACACGTGAAATTATGTGCAGTAGTGATGCGCAATGCAATACTGGGGAATGACCTTAAGCTTACATTTTTGATATAGGCCAGGTTACATAGCATGTGAAAAGATGTCACCTATGCACGTAACACTAAAAACAGGTGTAATGTAACGGTACATGAGGGCAGGACCCCCTTAATTCATGAAACTCTTTCACTTCTCTTTTATCATTATGATATTACAGTACCGGTCAGAGGGATTGCAACATTACACGTGCATAAAGCACGTGTACTACACGCACATTACGCGCAGTGTCCATGCACCTTACATGCACGAAGTCAAATTCTCGCTAATCCTGGGTTAGCCTAATCGGGCTTTGAACAACCCGGCCCTGGAGACCATGCTGATTTACGTGTGCCAATTTTTCAAAATCAGACTAGTTTTCCACAGACTAGTTTTCCTAACCCTAACCCTAACCCTGCAGTGGAAGTTTGAAGAAAATGTATCAAGTAGAACATTTTTGTGCAAATGTTCCTTAATACTTAACACATACATATAAATTATAACCATTAAAGCAGAGAGAAAAAATAAATAGTTATACGCTGATTATTCTGTGTTTTTTTAGGATAACCCTGAAGCTAAGTTAGAGGATTTGGATAAGCCTGGAGTAGACGATGAACCACAACAAGTTCTTCTCAGGTTCGCTATTCCCTGTACATGTGCTAACTCCTCATTATCAATGAAATTCACTTTCTATATCAACCCACACAAGCTGTATTGTACTGTATACATGTACCCTGTCTTATAGTTTGCTGGTTTGTTCAGGTATGAGGATGCTTACCAGTATCAGAATATATTTGGTCCACTTGTTAAACTGGAAGCAGACTATGATAAGAAGCTCAAAGAGTCTCAGGTAATTTAATTTTAATGTTTGTCACAGGACCCATTACCCAACCAATTCCTTTTTGCTTTATTAGCCCATTGACGCCTGTAACCAGCAGTAAAAAAGCACATGAGGACAAGTGCCTTTCCTATCCTCCTTGAAGACTTTTTGTTTCTCCTATTGTTCTATTGTTTTTAAGGACAAATAAACTAATGAGAATGGACTTTCTGAGCATATTTTTAAAGGACCTTAGGGGTCTTAGAAAGACGGTTTTTCGTCTTGAAATCATGCACTTGAAAAGTGTGGGTAATAATGGTGCGTTTCAGGCCAAATCTACAAACTTCAAATGTCTTGTTTTCGTTCCTAAAATGGAGAAATAAATTCTTTGGGACTTAAAATGGAAAGGAAAAACACAAATCAATGTTTAGGTGGCCTCAGAATGGAAGATCAAGGTGTACAGAGTCCTCAAACCATTCTAGTGAAGAATTTTTCCTTCCTTAAACGGTCACGAATACATGACAAGTGGTGCACTTTCATGTGCTTTTTGAATGTAGATCGCGGGTTTAAAGCGGCTTCCTGGACTTTAGAAAACAAGAATGGTAATGTACATTATTACTTCGCAGTTTATTTCAACTTTTGGAACATTTGGTAAAGCCAGGGGCATTAAAATGACTGCAAAAGTGGTTGGCAGAAACTCAAGCTTTCACTTTAGCGTGAAGAATTAATTTCAACATGCGGATCATGCAGCGTGGTACAGTGTACTATCGAAGCCGCAGCTTGTAAAATCACTCAAGGAAAAACAAAAGACAGACGCATAGGAACTTCCCCTGGATGGAAAAATCAAAGACATTTCGAACAAAGAATTCATTTCTGTATCAAGTTAACTTTTCAATTCTCCTGCTTGAAGTTTGCTTTCAGCTCCTTTCAGTTACATCGAAAATAATCGCCTTCCAATTCGTACGTTTCAAACCTGCGTTGATGCAAAGCTGCTCAGAGACCATTTGAAGGGTTTCTTTTAAACAGCCGTGACAATATTCACACAACACACTCTGTTAGCAATATATATTTACGAGTCAGACACTTACGCAGCTTTTATTTCCATGCATTTTCCAAACCAACCAACAATCCCATAAAAAGTGTAACATATAATTCTTCTTGAACCCGCAAGCACGCAAAACTAGTAACGGTTTAAGCTTGACAATTTATTATGCAACACTGTAATTGCATAAGCATCCCAACAAACAAGTTGAGATTTCATTGTCTTGTACCAAACATTTGATTGGCTGGAATTGATAATGGGACATTTGATTGGCTGGATTTGAAAATGTTGGGATCTATTGTTTCAGTTCTGCCATCTGATTGTCTAGGTGGCCCTGGTTTCAGTGAACGCACTGTAAGACAGTTGAAATACGATTGATCTCAAAATAATTGGCTTGTTTTAGTCATCTTTTTGATTTACAACTTTCATTTTGCTTTCACAGCGCTGTAATATTTCGTTGTGCAGCAAAGAAATAATTTGATTTCTTGTTTTCAGATTGATTTTTACATGTGTCTTTTGCTTTTATTTTCCATTGTTTTCACAAATTTTAGCCGTTATAGTACAAGAATGGAAATTGTGTTGTATTTGGTTTTGTTTTATCTTCCAAAGTCAATAATCAACTCATTTTCACATATTCAATTTTCTTGGCATGCGTGGGATATTTTGTCGCACGATAATGAAATAATATAATTTATTTTTTTTCTTATCAGTTTTACACATCAGGTTGAATTCTTTTTGTTAATATTTTTTAATATTTTGGCCCTTCATATATTCAACCTTTAAGAAACGCGGTCTTACAACCTGATCTTGTGTCGGTGGTTACTGTGCATATGGTTTATTTTTGTGCTTCGGCTCGCTCTGAAATATTCCAAATAATGTCAAGGAATTAGGGGTGGGTGGCGGGCCATTTCATTCAGGCATCAATGGGTTAAACCAAATGATTTCCATACAGTATAACTTACATACAAATATTAAACATACATGCTGTCTTTTTTATCTTTTTTTTGTACAGACTCAAGATAACATTGTTGTTCGTTGGGATATTGGTCTAAATAAGAAAAGGATTGCATATTTCTCCTTTCCAAAAACAAATGATGACATGCGACTGATGCCTGGTGATGAGCTGCGGCTGAGATACATTGGTGAATTGCACAAGCCCTGGCAGGGTGTTGGTCATGTGATCAAAGTGCCAAACAGTATCCTTGAAATGATAGAAATCCCAAACAACTTTAATATGTAACTAAATGCAACATTGTCCAGTGCCTGTCTGTAGATTTGATGTCTCCTTAACAGCATCCTTTAGACTTTGGAGAAGAGGTTGGAATTGAGTTGCGCAGCAACCTGGGTGCTCCAGTAGAGTGTACTCATAACTTTGTGGTGGACTTTGTGTGGAAATCGACTTCTTTTGACAGGTAAAAGTGAAAGGCTCCTTGAAACCTTTCAATGTGAGAAAATTATTCTTTGTCATTATGGTTATCAATTTTGATCAGTTCATGAGTTTGTCTTGTCTTGACAGCCTGGACAACTTGTCTTTCTATTCTTAAAAGTGGTTAATGTAAAACATCTCACTTTTTGTTAATGATTGTATTACCTTTTCAACAGAATGCAGACCGGAATGAAGACCTTTGCAGTTGACGAGACATCAGTCAGTGGCTATATCTACCACAAGCTGTTGGGACATGAGGTAGAAGAACAGGTCGTCAAATGCCAGCTGCCTAAAAGGTTGGTTTTACAAATAAAAGATCCAGACGTGTTGGTGTAATATTATACTGCCTTATTAGCGATGTTATCATTGCTTACAATGTACATGTACAGATGTTGATTGTATCATTGTGGTTATGCATTGATTAATATTATCATAATGCTGTCATTGCATCTCCATAGGTTTTCAGCCCAAGGTCTTCCAGAGCTTAACCATTCACAAGTGTATGCTGTCAAGACTGTGCTGCAAAGACCACTCAGTCTTATTCAGGTTAGTAGTCCTTGAGTACCCTTGCATGACCACAAGAAACAGTCAACAAGTGCTAGCGTTTTTTGTTTCTAACAACAGAGAGAGTTGTTTTAGAGGCATGTTATGAAGACACAAGTGTTCATCAATTTGGTTTATGATCGAGATTTTTATTCTGTCTTTCTGCACACACAGGGACCACCAGGCACTGGTAAGACAGTGACATCAGCAAGTGTTGTGTATCATCTGGCCAAACAAAACAATGGGTGAGTGTTCAGACCACTATTAGGCTAGCATTTATGAAATTCCTTCATGACACTGAACAAACTATTTAAATTGCATCAAGGCAAATGTATCTCTTGCACTGGAGTCTTAATTGCAGTAGTTTGGGCTTGGAATAAAGGTTAATTATTTTTATTTTTGGTTGTCGCGCAGTCAAGTGCTTGTCTGTGCTCCAAGTAACATTGCAGTGGATCAGCTGACAGAGAAGATACACAAGACAGGACTCAAGGTACAGTGTGCTACTAAAAACCTTGTAATCTTCAAATGAGTACCTGGTGCCCTTGCATTGTGGTTCTCCACTGTTTTTCATTGTTTATTTAATTTCAAAAAGGTCTGCTGCTCAGTATTTTTGGACACCAAAGAATGAGGGGCTTAGAAGACAAGTCCAGCTATTGATTCACAATCCAACTTTCTTTGATGTCTAGATGTGCTGATGCCAGTTTAAACTTTGCTGGATTTTCATGCAACAAGTGGTCTTACACTGTAATTCACAGAGAATTAACTTCAACTATTGTATTGTGTGTGGAAATAGGTTGTCAGACTGTGTGCCAAGAGCAGGGAGGCTATTGACTCTCCAGTAGCATTCCTTGCACTGCATAACCAAGTGCGTAACATGGACAGTGTTCCGGAACTGCAAAAGCTACAGCAACTCAAAGATGAGCAGGGTGAACTGTCAGCTGCTGATGAGAAGAGATACCGGTCTCTGAAGAGGAACTGTGAGCGAGACTTGCTGCAGGTCAGTTAATTTGTTCATTTGTCAAATATGTACATGTTAGGCTACAAAACGGAAACTAGCTGCTGCTACTTTTTGACTATTATGCTAACTGCCATGTCTATTGCAAAAAAAGACTGATTTTATGTTAAAACTGATGCTTGGTTCCTTCAGCATGCAGATGTGATCTGCACCACTTGTGTGGGTGCCGGTGACCCTCGCCTATCTAAGTTCAGGTTCCGCACCGTACTGATTGATGAGTCCACCCAGGCAACTGAACCTGAGTGCATGGTGCCAGTCATACTTGGCTGCAAACAGGTCAGTCTGTAGAATGTCGTACTAAATAGTGTTACATATAGCTCACAAAATGTTAAGGGTCTGGAACATTTCACATTCCAGAAGACAGCAAGTCACTGGAATGATAAATGTTATTATCACATTGTGCTGGACGTTGTGCTTCGCTACAGGAAAATACATGTATGAGAACTTGTCACTGCTTGGGTTAGCAAAGGATGTGTGACAGCCATGTCTGAAACCTACTGTTTCAGCTCTACAGTGTAGTACCTTACCTGTAATAACCCAGTGCTGCTCTTGTAGCTTTTCAATATGACAACAGTACATGCAACAACTTTGAGACAAATTGCCTGACTTGTCCCAGTTATTAACAGCATTCAAGGAACCAGTATGTACAATGATAGTATAAGATGCACTTTTCTCTGAGCAGTACTGTTTATGTGTATTATCATTCATTTTATTTTGTTTGTGCATTGTGTTGTTGTCTACAGCTGATCCTTGTTGGAGATCACTGCCAGCTGGGTCCTGTTGTGATGTGCAAGAAGGCAGCGAAGTAAGTAATGGTTCTTTAAGATTGCTGTTAGTTAAGTACAGCTATACATTTGGTTTTCATAACCTCTGCTCTTGGGAGAACTCCAACACAAGTTAGGGTAAGATGTACATGAAATTAAATTAAATTTATACAGTACATGTACTTACCATGTTCTTACATGTTAACCGTATTTTGATATTCTTTAGTGCTGGGCTGTCTCAGTCACTGTTTGAACGTCTGGTGGTTCTTGGAATCCGCCCCATTCGTCTACAAGTCCAGTATCGTATGCACCCAGCCCTTAGTGAGTTCCCATCCAATTTGTTCTATGATGGAACTCTTCAGAATGGAGTTACTGTTGGTAAGTGTGAGCTATAAATCATACTATATTGTTCATGTACATGTGTTTGAGCCAGTTGTCACTTTTCGTGTTGTTTGTCTTAGTAGACTCGAGGTTGCTTGATCTCAGGAAAATACTCAGAAACTTTTAAAAGAGGCTTGAGCAAATGCATTTTCATGTAGCAGTGACAGAGTTTTCAATTGCCAGAAGACTAAAGTTTGTTTATATTCAAAGCCATCATCAGCAGATGAGCTTTGGAACTGGTGCCTTTAAGGGTAGTGGTAGTAGGATGTTTGTTTTTGTGTTGTTTGACATTCTTTGCTTTTCTCGTTTCCTTCAGCTGAACGTCAGCAGTCAGGAATTGATTTCCCATGGCCTGTTCCTGACAAGCCAATGTTCTTCTATGCCACTATGGGCCAAGAGGAAATAGCCTCCTCTGGAACATCCTACCTCAACAGGTTAACATATTCATTGTTAATCATTCTATTTGTTTGTTTGTTTTTGTCGACCCAGAAACTCAAAAGCAGTTCAACTCTAAAAACATTGAAAGCTAGTTCTGTATTTCAGACATTTTTTTACCAGAAGTTACAATTGCCTGTTTGTGTACTCTTAAAAAAAACCTGCTTTTTAATACAGCTCAGTATTTATCATCAGAAAGCTTGTGTTACAGAGAAGTGTACCATAAACACTAGCGGATAAGCCACACCTTTTAACTCAAAATTTTCCGTAAAAATCAAGGATGCAGCTTATCTGCTAGAACATCAACAGCAGACAATGTGCCATAAATGTGCATAACTTAACACTTTTCATCGAAAATTTCCAAGTTGGTATTTAAAGCAAACTAATAAGAACTTCAGGAAACTAATGATATCAGAGTACACATCAAACATTGCTTTAACAAGTTTGGTGACTCCTAATAGAGCCGTTCTTGTTCGTAAGAATATTTCCAGCTGTTAAACACTATTAAACCTTCGTTAAAAAACCTTTTAGTCAGAAGAGGTTTTCATCTCCTGGTGAAGTGCCTGGCTACTACACTATGAATGAATGAACAAAACCATTCTTGTTGTTGTATGTAAAAGTCTACTGAAAACCGGACAGGAATGAAAAAATACGGGTGGAAAAATACCAGAGAAAGATCCAACATTAATTTTGTCAAAGTCGGTAGACATCATGTCCATACTATTGCAGAGCTAAGATTATAGGTAAGGGTTTCAGTTTGAAGTATTCTCTGTTTTCACTGTTAGTGAGTTTACACACTGGGGTTTACATTCAATTAATCAAGAAATGCGCATGAAAGGAATCTCTCTCAAGCCCCACTTGCGAATATTTTTGATTTCTTTCCAAAAACTTTTCCCCAAAACTGGAGTTGCCAAACTCTGGGGTGCGGCTTATCTGCGAGTGCAGCTTATCCACCGGTGTTTGCGGTAACCAGAATATTGTCTGATAACTTCATTTCTCTGAATACTGCTTCAAAACCTATGTACAATCTGTAAACAAGAGTTGTTTCTTCTACAGGACTGAAGCTGCTAATGTAGAGAAGATTGCCACCAGATTCCTCCGTGCTGGAGTGAAGCCTGAGCAGATTGGAGTGATCACTCCATATGAAGGCCAGAGAGCCTACCTTGTCCAGTACATGCAGTTTAGTGGATCTCTTCATGCCAACCTGTACCTGGTAAACGAACCCTTTGAACTTACTGTAACCTAGTGGTCGTCATATGAATGGTTTTTTTTTTGTACTTCAAGGGAAGATACACTTGTTGCTGATTTCATTGTGACACTTATATCCTAAATTTTTTTGTGATATAGGAAATTGAAGTGGCCAGTGTTGATGCATTCCAAGGACGAGAGAAGGACTATATTATCCTGTCTTGTGTCCGATCCAATGAACACCAGGTATACATTGAGTAATGATCTACATATACCTTACTTATGGATTAGTATTTTGTGCAGAGTGCATGTATGATCAATTTAGTCATTGAATCCTTTGATTTCTCCATGTCTTAAGATTTAAACTGCATTTCGTGTACAACCCTAGTGAAAAGTCTTGGGATGCTTTGCACTTTTGCCAACATATTGTCTTCCTGTCCACCTCCCCCTCCCTGCCAACACAATGTTAACGTTGATTCATACAAAGTAGACCCACTATTCCAACATTGCTTGGGGGGGTTCGGAAAATTAAACTATAACTTCCCACTTCAAAAGTATGCATCACCAGTTGGCACTTTTGGTCACGATTATAGATTCTTTTCCAAGATTTGTTAACCCTTTTCAATCCCCAAATCAGTATCTGGGTGTGTCGAAGCACCATCCCCAAGTTTATTGATGGTTTAGTTTTTCTATGACTGGGAAGGTGTTTATCACTCTTGGTAACTTGTTGTATGTTGTTTCTGTTTATTTGCAGGGCATTGGTTTCTTGAATGACCCTAGACGTTTGAATGTGGCCTTGACCCGAGCCAAGTAAGTCTTTTTTTAGTTTGAAGACAGGGAACACGTCATATTAATGATGCAAAGTGTCCAGTTGTTTACATGAGTTTATGTCCGCTGCAGGTATGGTATCATCGTCATTGGCAATCCCAAGATTTTGTCCAGGGTAAGTTTTTACAAAGTAAAATATATTGTTTTTACTTTCACTTCATGAAAAGAAATACGTGATCATAACATGTAAGGACATCCCTGTACACACTGACAACAAATGAAACTCTTCTGTATATCAAACAGTCCATGCCAACGTGCTTTAATTTATCACAGGGACACCCAATGTAACGATGTGTAAAGATGCTAAAATTTGGCATGTTTTTCTGTGGAGAAAAATAGTCTGAATCATAATCGTTTGACTGTGTTGTAATTTCTTTAGCAACCTCTTTGGAATCACCTGTTGAACTATTACAAAGAGAACAAGACATTGATGGAAGGTGAGTTTGAACTCTACCTTGCTTTTGTTATTACTTTGCCTTAAATCGTTTGTCCAATATGCTGTAAAGAAACAGGAATTTGAGGTTTCCGGCTTTTTGTGCTTTGCAGGGCCCCTGAACAATTTGAAAGAAAGTATGATTCAGTTTAGCAAGCCAAGGAAGCTTGTCAACCGCACCAATCCGGTAAGACAGCTGCTACACCTTCTTTACACCTTCCTTCAATTAAACCATTTTTCATTCAGAGAAATCTTGTTCGAAAATACCTTATTGTAGGAAGTTTGCACTTGTGTCAATCAATGCAGTTTAAATTAACATGATTTGATGAAGGGAATTATTCAAAGTGAGGGAAATTTACTCCAGTAAGAGTGTAATACTTGCAGTTGAATGTAATTATTGGGAATGGTACAAAGACCACTTTTCGTCAGTACAAGAGTAACAAAGTTTACTACAAAGAACAGTGAGATCAAAAACGTTTTTCAATAGCATTTGAGTGGGGGGAAAATTAAGAGCGCAATTCTATCATCTACTGTTTTCTTTATGCCTATGATCCCAGCAGATGCCTAACAGTCTTAGGTCATAAAAATGAAAGAAAAGGGGTGACATAACGCGCCTCGTAAAAAAGTTACGTTAGAATAAATTAGTGTTCCTTGAAATTACTGCGACCAAATTAATGCAAATATTTGAAAGCCTTGGTTTCATACTTCTCAAGTTAACTGAGCTCCAGTAAGTTATAAATAAAATGCCTTGATGGCATTTTCATTTAAAGAGATACCCACCTTGTATTTCATGGCAAGTTAGCTCCAGTTTGATCTTAGGATTATGAAAAACTTGTATTGGGGCGATCAAACCATCTGGTTTTGTCACAAAGGTTGCGTTTAAGTACCCAAGTAAGAAAAGATAATAAATAAATGATGACTTTATTACCGTGTCAATTAAAAATCTAGCAGAGGAGATTCCCCTGCTCTTTTACATGAATTGGCCAAAACTGTCAGTTGTTACCTAGACTAGCTCTAGTGCTAGCTTTCTACTAACAATCGTTGCTGTTTTTCACTTTAGGGTGGCCGTTTCATGAGTAGCACCATGTTTGATGCCCGTGAGGCTCTGATCCGTGGCAGTGTCTATGACAGGCAGATGCCTACAGCGCCTATGGATCCTGCTGCCTTCCATGACACTTACTTCCACACTCATGACCGTCTGAGCTACATTGGAGCTGAGCGCACCATCCCACCTGCTGCTGCTGCAAGGATTCCAGTACCCGTGGGAATGTTCATTCCCCCCGTACCACCCCCACATCACTCTTATTTTGGACAGGTAGGTTACGTAAAAGCTAAATCTAAGTTGACAGTTCCTTAATGCATCCACACGTTAATACTGCTCAGTAGCTTTTATTAGACTGGTCACACACTAGTGTTTCATCCATACACTTTAAAGGTAGAACCACCTTCTACAGCATAGCCTCTTCCATGCGTTCAGTTAGTTGGGGCGCAGCGCGGAAAACAGCACGGGAAAAGATAAAAAAAAAAACGCGTGTTTTTTTTTTTATTTCTTCGCGCGCTGATTTTCGCACTGCGACCCAACTAACTGAACGCCTGGAAGAGGCTATCTACAGCATAAGAAACAGTATTCAGAAGCTTTCTTTTAAATGGTCACATACTAGGGTTTCATCCACACTCTTTAAAGCTAAAACCACCTTGTACAGCATAATAAACAGTACCACGTAAAAGTGCTGTTCAGTAGCTTTATTTGCATGGTCATACACTAGGGTTTCATCCACGGAATGAAAACTTCAAACCACATTACTCGACTATAGGATCTCAAAAGTATAAATCTGTATTCAAGCTTTCTGCAATCTATATTTCTCTTTTAGCCTCTTGCTGGTCGTATGCCTCATGGTCGGCCAGTCCAGCAGCCCAGGCAGCGCAATCAGCGAAACCATCACCATCACCAGCCTATGGCATACGCACCTCACATGCCAGCCAGCCAGGCCAGTCAGGTATGCTGATACCTCTTGTGGTTATTTAATGTTTCGTTTGTGCATTTTTATACCGCCCGGTACAAGTTTTGAATCTTTTGTGACGTTTAGAAGCAACTTTGGTTGATCTATGTTCTCTGGTTTGACCGCTGATTTGTAATTTTTCAATCCGTCACAGGATGCTTCGCAGCCCCTGTCCCAGGGCCCACTCACTCAAGGTGGTATGTCTATGAGTCAGCCCATGGCGTCACAGCCCTTGTCCCAGCCAGACCTTTCTCAGGTAACCTGCTCTCCGTGTCTGTATTTCTCGATTTCTCTCTCAGTCTGGCAGAGTGCAAGTCTTAAGAATCAAATTTCAGGTTCGCTCTCATGGGGAATGAATTGAATGCACCTATAAAGAAGTATCTAGCTTACTTGTGGTAGAGTTGCAAGTTGCAACTTATAGCATCAAGTTATATTAAATAGAATTACTTACTAAACTGACTTACTGTTACATTTAACTTAACAGGACAGTTACTTGGGAGACGACTTCAACCTAAAATCCCAAGCAGACGCGGTGTTGTCCCAGGACTCCACCTACCAAGGGGAGAGGGGAGGTTACATGAACTCCTTACCAGACTACTCCCAGCCAAACTACGCCTCCCAGTACTAAAGAATCGGCCTCCCGGCTGATAAGGGGGCAAGTCACCATCTGGCAGCCGTCATCAAGGCAACCAGCAGGTAACGCCTTGCTAAAGCCGCACCCTTGAAATGCCCCGCACCGAGGGTGTGGCACTCGCCTAAACCTTGAAGAAAAACGAGAGCAGAGAGAAACGAGAAGAGAAGATAATTTTTTGGCCGCTTTTACAAACGGCAGATCTTAACGGTTTTGACGCCGCCAAAGGGAAACATGGATGTGTTGAACTTGGACTTTGTTTTTAGACAGTTAATTATCTGAGGGACAGAAAGTCTCGCTTGTTTTGAACAGGACAAACGACTTGTGAGATGCTGTGAGATGATGCAACATTACCTAACTGTAATTTTTATCACCCTATGGGTGAAAAATTTATACAAGAGACAGCAGAAGGCTTCTTTTTAGTGAAGAGTCTTGACGATTTGTCATTTCTTGTGCTTTATCTACTTATTGGCACTTGGCATCTAGCTTGTGCTTCCCGCTTCGAGCTCTTAACGTCAAAGCGGCTTAGCAATCCATGGTAAAAGCTTATGCAGAGAAGTCGCTAACAACTCGACGTTGAACAGAACACGCTCATAAATCTTGCTGGCTTCTACTTCTCTGCTTTTCCTCGTAAAGAAACTACGAAGCGTCTTCAACCAGTTGGAAGTTCTGTTTGAAGAATGGGAACATTTCAGCTGATTATCCAGCTTAATAGAGCAAGAATTGTTGTTCGGTGGTTGGTCATTTTCTTGGAAGCCGATCGAGTTGAAACTTTAACATCTCCTGTGCAAGAGATACTGCAAGCATCAATGTCAATGTTTTGTGTTGAACTTGTTAATAGTAGCTTAACAGAGGACTGAGTTGAACACAAACTCGGGAGATGTCAATTGCCGAATGTTAGTTAGATCTTTGGCTAAAGCCTTTTTGGGTTACGTTAGCAGGGATGAATTGTATTAAAACTGACAGGTCTGTCTCAACGGTTCCCGGCCGGTAACAAGATATCTTTGGTTGAATGGCCAAAAAAAGAGATGTTGAAGTTTCAAGTTGACCAGCTTCCCTAACAAACCTCTCATGCGGTTTCCTACAACTTGTCATAAAAGACTGAACAGAAGTTAGCTTTAAACTTTGCTTCGATTCCATTTTCTTCCTGCCATTGCTGTCTTTAGAGAAAAGAATCAAAAGTCAACTTTTGATGGAACATTGGATTTTTAACTCGGTTTTGCTTCCTGAAAGGAAAGATTTTTAAGATCCCTGGAAACGATGGGCGTGCGTCCCGTGAAGTTCATTGAAGTGGGGTGTCTTATTGCACCCCTGTCACGTGTTACTGTTTTTTTGATTGTAGCTTTTGAATCTTATTTGATTAGTGGTGTTTGTGTTGATCGTGTTTTACCATTGCCCTGTTCCAATGAATTATTCATTACTTTAGGGTATGCAGACTAAATGTAATCAAACATTTATCATATTAACCAGGTTTTAGTAGGGTACATGTAATGTGGGTCGCTGTTGTTTCACGATTGCACTACGAGCCAAACCTTCCGTCAGTGAGGGTAAGTAGTGTAATCAGTTTAATTGATAAAGCTTGCCGTGGTCTTACCCCCACTGTAAACTATCACGTGATAACAGACAAGTTTAAGGGTTTTTAATCATCGACTCAGTGTAAGCATGGTGTGAGACCATATCAAATTTACGGTGAATTTACAATAGACCACGGCAAATTCTGCATACCTATACATGTATGTTAGTTAAGAAGTGTCACAGTTCCTTGTTTTGAACATTGATAGAGGAAAACATTCTGCTACTGTAAACTCATTCGGCCATCAATATACAAATTGCTCATAGAGCGTTTTAGAGCCCCAATTTCCTGGCTAAAATGGGAAGCAAATACAGTTCTTAATCGTCATTATTTCCTTAGATGTGTTTTGAGAGAAATCAATTCAACCATTGTTTTACTGTTCCACTGTCCTCATGCCGAGACGTTTATCCGTCCAAACTCCCAAGATCAACAGCAAAATTCTCCGTACTGATTTTCACATTATGGTTGATTCTACTTGGGAGAATTTGCCTTTGAGTCAAGCAGAGTTGGTTCTGTAATACAGAAACTGTATCTGTAATATATTTTTTCTTGCTTAACGCTTTCCCTCTAAGAGTGAGAACTTGAGTCGTATTGTGCTGTGGTTTGAGTGTGGCATAAACTCTTTTCTCGAGATGGCTCGTGTCGAGTGGTATGTGATGCTGTTCGTTTTAATCAATTTTTTTTCATTTTGAAAAATTTATATTTCTGCTTTTATATTCCTTGTTTTTTTGTGTACTGTCTTAACACTAGGTGTAAAACATGAGCCATTCCTATACTGATGTAAGCTCGTTCCTTTATAATACATCATTCTTGATCTGAAAGTTTTCTTAATTGTTAGACGTGATTTTAAATTTCCAAACCTGGATCATTTTTGCTCAACGATGATTTGCATTTGTAGATCTTGGTAGCCAATTCCAATTTCAGTGGTTCTGTTTTCAAAGGAATACGAGCCTCTGACCTCAAACAACGTGTTCTCTTACTTCTGCTGGTTGAGTTTTGTTAATGATTCTCTTTTATTTTACCTGGTAGTGTGACGCGTACATCTTACATACAGTTGAATAAAGAATAGTGAACGCTTAGTTCAGTTCGTCTTATTTGCTTTGTTAAATAATTACGAGAAAGTCGAACTTCACACTGACTGAATATTTTAAAGCAGTTGTACAATTACGTTAGTGTTCTAGCGGTCGCCACAAGAACTTTCCTGATTGGCTAATGGGGATGTTATACACGCCAAGATTCGAGATCTTGTTGCTAAGCAATCTCGGACCCAATCTGCTTGCTCAAGCAAGGAAGATTTACCACGTCTTATAAGAAAGTCCTGAAGGGAAGGTGTAAGGGGTGGGGGTTGTATAAATCCCATTTGCAGCCCAAACTTTCCCCAAATCCCGTTTCACAGAATTGAATTCGGATGTCGGGTTCTGACCACAAGCTGGATTTTATTCTCTTTAGACCTGCGTTCAAATATCCAACTGGAGAGCCTCCAAGTTGAAATTCTAAATTGGTTATGCTCTATTAACAGTATTTGTTTCTGATGTTTGTTTCATTATCCCTGAAAAGGCCTTCGGTAAATTGAGCCGGTCAGCGGAGCAGCGCGAACAACGACAAGTGAACTTACAAAGGTCCCCTCGCCTTTTGGTCTTCATCGCTATTTTTTGCGCTCCGGCCTCCTAAAGGAAATGAATGTCTGGAAAAACTGTTGGACAGGGGGAAGGGCAATATTTTATGCTCTGATGAAGTTGCTGCATTAGCTTCGTTGTACTCATACGCACAGAAAGAACTGTTAGTCAATCAACCTCTCCTCCCCCTCCCTTCCTGTTCAATGTAAATACAGTGAGGCTATATGAAATGATTTTTAAAATATTCTTGTAGGAGAAGTCTGGAGGTGACTTGAATACAATAGAAACCTGTTTTTCAAGCTAGAATCGGTCAATCTCATCTGTTTTCAATGTAGTCCCAAACTTTTTGTCGCAAAATTATGTTGGCAGGATTGCCTCTCACAAGGCAACATAAAGCATAATTCAGTTAAGCCCGCGCATCACCTAGAAAATTGTTTCCAGTTTCCCGTAGGCGTTCGCGACAGTTTCCTAACATACTAATTTATCAATCTATTCAGCAGTCAACAACTGAATAATAAATTCAAATGGAAAGGCGCTGATTTTTCCAAAAAGAAAAATTTTAACGTCCACTTGAATAGATCAATCAAGACAGTTTTGAGAAAGACTGGCTTTGATTTCAGTTTGTTATTTCTCGCTGCAAAGCAGTCAAAATTTCACTTATGAATATAAATCTTTTCTCGTTAACCAAGGGATAATCACCAGTTTTGATTGCTTGTTTGATTTCAATCCGACAATTTTTGTTTTCTTTAATGTCAAAAGTCGAGGTAAACGGAAGGCGTTAATTATGGCAGTAATACTGAAATCAAATCAATAGTGGTATCTAGACTATTTTTCAGGCCGGGCTACTGAAAAAAGTCCTGATTTTATGAAACCTCGATGGTATTTCTCTTGAGATAAGGCAGCAAATATAATGTAATCAGTGAAGGAAAACCGTCTTTCCGTAAAAAGTAAATCCCCTTGACGGCTTATTAGATTTAACCTATAAGAGATCTCTAATGATTTGCTTAGCGTATTACAAATGTTTAGACAGGACTTCCGTATTGTTCACAACATCCGGCCAAAATATATGATTAGCGTATTGTAATTACTGTTCAAGTGTGCAATGATTGAATAAGCCTGAGATTTCTCTCGAAACAGGGCCAGAAATCGGACGGTTTATAAGATTTTCGTCAGCCATTGTTTGAAGAAGGGGAAATTTTACAGTTTTGAAAAAGCACCTTCCTGGAATCTCTAGTTTTATTTTTATTATTCCTTGACATTCGAAAGTTTTATTTCTAATGAATTTCACACTACTTTCGACTGCCTTTTCGATATTTTTGTTATCAGTATGCTTGGTTCTCGTAAGGTAAGTGGCTTCACATTATCCTTTATTTATCGTATTGAGATGGATAACTGTGTTAAAATAATCATTCACAATGGTTTAAAACTGTTTTTTCCTCATTTTAAAGAACATCCGATGTGAAATCGAAGCCAGCGCCCGAAAAGGGACAAAATGTTTGCGCGTATCAAAGAGTGAAAACACAATTGGTGTTACGACGAAATGCAACTTCCACAAGGAACTTAAAAATTGTGGACTGCGGCATTCCTTCTTTTCCAAAACTAAAATGTAAAGAAGAAAGGTAAGAGTTCAAAGAAAATCATTGAATCTTTCGTATACACTTATCTTCTGTCGTAATCAGCTGTTGTTTGCGGTCTTTAACCACATATTTGTATACACTTGTTCTGTTGTAGGTGAAATATCTTTGGCAAAATCCTACCATAGTCAATTTTGTCCTATTAATTACCGCGATCTTCATTTCTTATGATTAAGATTTTCCCCTTGGTATTGCAATTTTAATCCATTCTAATCGAAATTGGGTTGTCTTAGCCCTTGGTGTGAAAAATTTGAAGCGAAACAAAAAACTGCTCATTTTCATCAATGTTCGATGAACAATTTCGTTCCACAATTTCGTTCGTTTGCGCGTTCTGCCAGCTTAGTCTTGTATTTTCTTGAATATTGAAGCTTCAAGCACTTTTTATCTTATGAATCAAAATTCACATTCAGTGCGAGTTAATTGTTTGTTAGATCGATTGGGGGATCTTGTTGCACGCCACGCCAACTGGTCACTGCACTAGAAAAAAGTAGTTTTGGATATGTTAGAAAATCTACAATCATATCTGTTTATGCCCTTATTTTTGTGGGAGTTGAGTGAAAATAAGGATAAGAACCTTGTATAAAAATAAAAAAATTAAGAAAATATCCCGAGGAAAAATGTAGTAAATTGGAAAAAAAACGCTTATGAAAGATGAAGAAATATTTCGAACTTCTTCAGTGTAAGTTAAGACTTTCACTGAATCGTTTTTTCAGAGCTTTCTCGAAAAGAAATATATGAAGTAATATTGTGGCATTTCTATTTTCTGTCTACTTTCCCTGCCATTTCACCTTTTCATGATTGAAAATTTTTCAAACATTTAACGAAGTAACATCTTTCTGTCGATTATCACAATCAACTAGAAACTATTATGGTCTACATGTTTGTGAGCGCGACATTTGGGGGAAGTAGCTCTCTTATATCAATAAAACTGCTTTTCGCCGTGTTTTTATAGAAATGAAACAAAGATTTACTGGTACCCAGTACGCGAGTTTATTCACTATAACATCTTCGACTGTTGTCCGGGATGGATTGGGTACAAACCAAAAGTTGGGTGCAAGGAACGTAAGTATTATCCTTTCTTATGGTTACTGTTCTTAGAGACCTAGCTAAATTTCAAGAGAAACTATTTTTTAACTATACATACATGTGGTTTTTGGATTTTTAATCTGACATTCCTAAAGAAATCCCAAATTAATTTCTTCAGAGATATTCTACTATAAAGGACAACCAAAGGGCGCAAAATTTATGACGCACGCGCAGAAAATGGAGAACCATATCAGCTTTCATTGGCTTATCTTTTCAGTTGTCCAAAGCCACTAACAAGTAAATTAAACAAATTCCATCAAAGGAACTTAGTATGTAGAGTGAAATTTCCTATGTTATAAAGTTACTTGACAGAAATTTCCCGAGTTGCCCCGACAGGACACGAATCTGTCACCTGCACAACAGTCCGGGACGCCTTATCACAGAGCTGGTAGTTACAGTATGTCATGTAACAAGGCCCAAAGGACACATATTGTTGTCTTATTTCTAGGTGTTCCTTGTGGTGTGGCCATCCCTCAAAAAGCTCCCTTACATTGCCACGAAAGCAGAGGTAAAGACTTAACAAAACATCGAGGAATCTACAAACTGGGTCACGTGAACAATCTTCCTTTTCCTATGAGCGACATCAATGCGTATCTGTTAATTAACCTCACACTGGCTGATCCGTTTACTGAAACGTGGATGAAGTTGTATGGTTATATGTTGAAGAAAAATCTGGCGCTCATTCAGAGCTTTCCCAAGACGAATACGAAAGAATTCACAAAGATCTTCGACTACGAGGGAGTGTATCATTTCTTTATCAAGCAACAGCAGAATGAAGAAATGGTAATTTATTCAGTTTTTTCGTGTTGTATGATATAACGATATGGGCGTAGACTGGTATAACCCTCTTTTCCTTACCACCCTAAAATTTCGAAATCAATATGGTCACTGCTCAAAATGGCAAATATTCGGGCCCGAATTCGCCCGAATACAGATCGGCGCACGTCGTGTACACCAAAATGTTCGGAGGAGTCGAGGACGCCTGACCGAAAGTACCCCTGAAATATCCTATTAGAATCTGGCCCATTTATCCCAATTGGACTTAATTATTTCAAGTATAAGTCCTTGTATATTCCAGGTGTACATCGCGAATTACATGCGCCTTGAATACCTTAGGGTGTCCGTGGCGTAACGCTTGCATATTCGAGGCTACAGTACTCTATGATATCTGCCGTTCTAAGACTTGTAATCTTACTATTTACTCGAAATCAATTTAGCTGTACTTTAGTATGGCACCGTAGACCGTGGACTGACACACTTAGAACGGTGTAATCATTTGAACAGTTTCCGACAGTGATATCTGTATTGAGAAGTAATTTCACGTGGTATTGATTTTCTTTTGACAGGTTCGCCCGTTTTTCCGCTTTCCTTCTCAAGAGGAACCCTTCAAAAGCGTCATCAATAATATCACGTGGCGTGAAGATCGGGTGTTCACCGAGCAGCGGTTAGCTGGACTCAATCCTATGTCGCTGATGAAAGTTACCTCTGGTCAAGGTGAGTGAGGCTCAAAGACCGTATCAGACTCGCTACAGTTTCCTTATAAAGCTTTTCATAGTACACTGCATAAAGGTTCTCGGTAATTTTTATATTTCATAGATTCTGTCGGTGTTAAATGGTCTGATCTCAAATCACGCTTGAATCAAAACTACGACTGGGACGCCGCGGTCACGAGGAGCCTGGGAAAGAACATTCTGCTTGAAGAAGCTATTGCCGATGGGTCCATTTTCGTTGCCCAGTACCCAGTCTTCGACAACCTCGTTACAGTGCCGGACATCACTGAACACAGGCCCACGCGGAAAATGTGGCCCGCAATGTCTCCAATAGCATTGTTCGTCTCGCGTCCAGGGAAAAGTGGTGCGCCTGCGCAGTTACGACCAGTGGCTATCCAGCTTGATTATACGCCTGGTAAGATATAAAACCACTTCTAACCCCAACTCCTGCCCTGCACTGCCTCCGCAGGGAAAAAAAATACTGTATAACCTACGCTAGAAGTGACGGACATTTTTTCTATCGTGTCACAGACTCCCAGGTCTACTCCCCTGAGGATGGAGACCTATGGGCTCTAGCTAAAGAGAGCTTTCAAGTAACGGACTTCGCTTACGTGGAAATGGTGGAACATCTACTGAAGACCCATCTCATGATGGAGCCGTTCTGTGTGTGCGTTCTGAGACACCTGTCAAAATTGCACCCTCTGCACCAGCTACTTAAGTACCACTGCAGGTAGGAATAACTACTCAGGGAAGGGGCATGGGGATATTGATGGCTTTGGGGAGAGGGTAAGGCGTACGCATGCGTTTGGTTGAAAGCAAATAACAGTGCCGTCCACAACAGAAAAATAAAGCGTCTCCGAGAAAAGCGAGACCCCTTGAAAAGGCCCTTCGTCGATTATCTAAGTTACTTTCCTTTTCTTATTTATTTTTCTACGAGAGATGAGACTTTCCCCGAATGGGAAGAAAAGCCAAAAGAATTTAAAATAAACTACAGCGAGGAAATCTCATTTAGGTACAGTTAGTTATGGTGTATTCTTGGTATTTCTCTCTTGCAGAGGTTTACTGCCGACCAACAAAGTGGGTTTTCCTAAACTGGTAGATGACAAAGCTTACATGCATCAGTTATTTGCCATTGGTAATATCGGCGCTGTTACTCTGTTGGTCCGTGCTTATCAGACCTTAACGTGGGCTGATACGGACTTCAGAGCCAAAAATAAGGTACGATATCACCCTGCACCATTGACCTCTTAACAACAGACTACTGACCTAAAATGGTGTATGTCATTCTTGCGATTTTCTCAACGCTGAAAAAAGCACTGTCTGATGTTGCTTGTCATTTCCGTTTTTCACTAGTTGATCTGCACACAATAAACATTGCACGTTGTTTCTGAAGCCCTGTCTACACTACGCCACCATCACCAGCCATTTTGCGCTTGAGGAAACCTCGGACAGCGGAATCACGTGATTATCGTGACCTCACCGTTTTCGAAAAGTACCGTCTTCAAAATGTTTTCCGTGCACACTAAAACGCAAAGCCGGCGTTTTCAAATTCCTCCAGTTTGAAGAGCGTTTTTGGAAAGCTCCGTTCTCGTGACGCATCGGTGTGGACGGTGGGCCTAACCGCTGCGTTTTCAAATTTCTCCCTCGTGGTGTGAACAGGGCCTGAAATTTGTCCGCCCGTAAAATGATTGCGCGCTACAGTCATGCGCTATTTTACAGAAGCACGATCCTTTTCTAGAACCTTGCACTCAAAGATTATTAACCTCTGCGTCGATTATCAACATAATGGATAAGCTTTATGTTATTTCACTTCGTTTCCCAGGCACGAGGAATCGATGACCGGTCCAAATTACCATATTTTCCGTACCGAGACGATGGAGAAGTCATATATCAGGCCACGGAAGATCTCGTCAACGATTACGTTAACTTGTGAGTATCTCTGACATAATATTATGATGCGGACGCAAGAAGCAGACTTCGTATCAAAAACATACCCAGCATAGTTTCTGGAGTCACTATTTCCCCTCCGTTCACTCAGGAATCACTAGAAATAGGAACGCCTTTCCAAAGAGAAACGATTTTAGTCATTATAATAAAATACAAAAAATAATAAAATAATAATAAAATACAAAAAAATTTCAGTCATCGTTCACCCGCCGCTAGTTTTTTCATAAGAAAAGGTGTTTATTGTCTTTGATCTGTTTGGGAAGTACTGAGCTGAGAAAATGAATCGAGATGTTAGTTCACGTGACTGTTTTATCCAATGAAAAAGTTAATTTCACGCGCATGAATTCAATTTTAGTTATTACGCCGCTGACAATGATGTACTGGAGGACCATGAAATCCAAGGTTTCGCCAACGAGGTGTCATCCGATGGCCTGGGCAGTAACGGCGGTCAAGGAAAGGTGCTTATTTACTGACCA